CAGATGTTTCCCAGCCATTTTCCGGGTTAAAAATCAGAACTTCAGTATCTATATGGATATTGGTCAAATTCTCAGGTGAATACTCCATTCCAAGCCTTTGGTCTTATTACAGAAAGGAGTAAAATGACAGGGTGACTCTTAGGTGTCAAGCACTTTTAAATAATGTCATTCAATGCTATTTAGTGCATTTCAAGGATGCAGGGGACGGGTGGTCCAACATCTGCTCGGCTTCCTGTTTGGGGTGAGAGCCCTGCTGCGGTAACACTGATGACCAGCAGGGCTGTGCGCCATGCCCTGGACCCGTGGCAGCGAGGCCATCTCTGCTTGTCCCTCTGTGTGGTCAGGGCCCAGCACGTGGACTAGGATCAGCCAACAGGGGGCTGCCGCGTGGGGTTCTGGGTCTCCAGCATGAGGCACAGATGGAGAGAAGGCTCCACATCCTTCTGGCGGTGCTGACGTGGCCGGTGGTGCCATTCTGCGGCAGTGCCCAGCAGCTGGACCTTCCTCCCAGACCGTGCTGCTATAGAAGGTTGTTGTTCTGTCTCTATCAGCTCTTGTTTCCCGGCTAAATTTACACGTCTGTCACTGCTGGGAGCCAGCAATATGGTATCTCTTTACAAAATTCTAGCTGTGGTTGAGGTAACAGGAGTTGGTACAGTTCTGCCACAGGGAACCTTGGCTGGAAGCGGCCTCAGAGCTTGTTTGGAGGCCACAGCTGGCGAGAGAAGGCGTTGGGGCTAAGAAGTCTGCTGCGTTCGACTCTACGCACACTTCCTACAGACTTCTAAGGAGCACAGAGATGAGGAGTGGGTGCGCTGCACAGATCAGAGTGGGGACTGAAGACCAGCAGGGTTATAGACACTACCCCCAAACCCACACTCAAGGACACTTCCATAAAAGAGTGGGTCTGCTCAATGCCAGGGACATCATCATGTTCAAATGTTATTTCAGTTCATCCTCACAATATGATAAAGGAGGCAGTATTTTCCCCATTGTCCATCGAAAAACCTGAGACTCTCAGAGAGGTTTATGCAAGTTTACAAGTTTTTTTTTTTTTTTTGTCTTTTTGAGACAGGGTCTCATTATGCAGTTCAGGCTGGCCTTGAGCTCACTTTGTAGCCCAGGCTGGTCCACAACTTGCAGAGATCCTTCTGCCTCAGCCTCCCGAGTGCTGGGATTACAGGCGTGTGCCATATCCAAGTTTATACTATAGCGGGTGTGAAGGCCAGGTTTAAACCTGGGTTTCCAGACAAGAAGTCTATTCATTAATTAAGCTACAACTTCACAATGAAATTTAATCAATCAATAAAGGTTTCCCCACTGCCAATTTTTATTTACTTTTTTTTTTTATTTTTGAGACAGAATCTTTTTTTTTGTCTTTTTGAGGCAGGGTCTCAGTATGCAGTTCAGGCTAGCCTTGAGCTCACTTTGTAGCCCAGGCTGGTCTTGAACTCACAACCATCCTCAGGCCTCAGCCTCCCAAGTGCCGGGATTACAGGCGTACACCACCACACCCGGCCCCTGAGACAGTCTTGCTATTTAATTCAGACCAGTCTTGAACTCACTATGTAGCCCAGGCTGGCCTTGAACTTGCAACGATCCTCCTACCTCATTCTCCTGAGTGCTGGGGTTACAGGTATGTGCCACCACACCTGGCTCTACTGCCAATTTTCTGTTAACCTCTCCTAGGCCCCAGCATGGCCTCATCAATGTGTTCTTGTTGTATCTTTGCGCATGATCTTACAGCTCTGTCCTGAGCGTGTCATTTCCTCCCTTCCTTCAGGCTCTGGCCCAGGACTATACTCCCAGAGAGTATCTTTCTTTCTGTCTGCCCATTTCCAATGCCCACCAAGGTTTTCACCACAACAGCCACTGGGTTGGGCCTCAATTGAAAGTTGGTCATCGATTGACCAATGGAAGCACTATACAGAGAAGAAAGATTATCCTCCCAAAGAGCTGCCCACCAAAACCAGCGTTTGTACTTATCTTCTATTCAGTCCTGCCTGCCTCCCTGTCCCCTACAGCTTCAAAAGACGCTTGGCTTTAGACTTTATCATCATTATCAGCAAACACCCCACACCGCTGTGCCTTTGCTTACTGGACTACAGAATACAGCCGAAGATCCTTGTTGGCAGAATAAATAAATAAATACCAGACGTCTCAGGGTCTTTGGGGACAGATCCCTTGCCCAGATCTGGCTCATGATGGCCAATGAACACTTTGTCATTTGTGTTTTGGATTAAGAAAATGAGTTCTGCCTGTCTCCTACCATTACAAGGAGCAGTGAATTGAATTGGTGCCATTGTAAGCTCGATTGTTGTTGCATAGATAAAAACCTCATTAAGTCCCTCATGAGGAGAAAAGAATTTTATTTTGAGGAAAGAGGGGCGAGGAGGGCTTCTTGCTTGTTGTGGTTATAACAACAAAACATTAAATGGAGGAAATAATTAAATAACTGCAATTTTTTTTTCTTACCCAAACCTCCTCAAGAGGCTTCGTGAGTTTTTAATTAGTGCTGCATTTTCAATAAATCCGTATCTGTACGTGGTGCCGATTCTTTCCTGGATAAGGAAAAGATATAATGAGAATCCTATTTTTCAGCCCCACACTAAAGGGATGCCTGGTATATTTAATCATGCTGTAGAAATCCTGGCAGCTTTCTCTGAGCCCGGCCTCTGCTCTAATTACATTTCTAGATTTTAGTAAATTGAAAGGGAAAATGTAGGAACAAAATAATTAAAACCGAAGAGGAAGTGCATATTAAAAAGGAGAAGCTGTTTAAAATTCTTCCACATAGTGTTCCAAGGACATCTACAATCATTTAATCAGCTCCACACCAAATCAAAGCCCTTTGTACAGAGGCTGGGAGGATCACCTCTCAGGTGGGCGGGCTGGTCCCTCCAGGAGAAGTGGAGCCTCTGCGTGCAGATGGGCCTGGGGCCTCTTTGCCCTTTTGGACCACTGGGGGATTCAGGCCCAGCCTAGACCAGCTGCTGGCACAGATTTCCGTGCCCTGAGGAGTCCCCTCCCAGATCCTGGGCAGAGTCTGGCTAAACTGAGAGGATTAGTCTCAGTGGTGAGGAAGCTAAGGCAGGGTGGCCCTGTTTGAGGTACTTTCTTCCTTCCTTCCTCCCTATCTTTCTTTTCTTTTTTTCTTTCTTTCTGAGACAGGATCTCGCTATGTAGTTCAGTCTGGCTTTGAACTCAATATGTAGCCCAGCCTGGCCTCAAACCCATAGCAATTCTCCTGCCTCAGCCTCCCAAATGCTGGGACTACAGGCATGTGCCATCACCCCAGCTAGTTCCCTCTTTCTGCACCTCTTCCCCATCCCCATCTCCAATGACTATCTTTTCCTTCCTTCCCTGCCTTCCTGCAAAACCTAAGGGGAAAAGAACAAGGAACTAAACAGGCTCAGTGGGACCAGGAGCTGGCTGCTTCTAACTGGTCATGGGCGTGCATGATGCCTCTGAGGCATTCTGAATTTCCACGGGAACCCAAAACCTTTCTGGCTTCAGCTAAAGGACTGAATGTTTGCACTAAGGCTGATAAAGTCTAACGGGACAGTTTCATGCATCTGCCTAACAGGTGACCAAAGTTCTTTTTGGTTTGAAGGAGGGCCAGGCCCACTATCATTGTAGAATTTGGGGTTTCCATTTAAAAACTATATCATCTTGGCTGAAATATGGGTCGTGTAAGTTTGACGAGTTCAGCGTGTTTTGTTTTTGATTCCTAGAAAATTATAAACTCAGGGATCCTAGGGTCTGCTTCTGCCGTTAAGAGCCTTGGGAAGGCAGGCTGGCACTGTCAGGGGTTTCTTTCCAAACCCCTGTAGCTTTGGTCGTCGTGGCTGCCAGCCTTCCCTGCTGAACTGGCTCACCAGCCACCTGGCGCCAGGACACATGTGGCAGGGGACAGGGAGCACTGTCTCCTGGAGACGGTCCCACAGGCCTGGCAGGCAGCAGACTCCTGGAAGCGGTCCCCAGGCAGGGCCCACATGCTTGCTCCATAGCCTGCGGGCTCATCCTTGGGTAGTTCTCTTGCGTCCTGCGCCCCATGCATTGTGTGTGCCTCTGGAAGGAAAAAAAAAGCGCTACCTCTGGATTATTTCACTTGATTCAGTAGTTGATTCAGTAGGAATAATTTTTTAAAGTTTAAGCTCAAGGAAAGAATCATAGCAACCACAAATATTCCGTTGCGGACATTATTATTCCAACACAGAGACTTTTTTTGTTTTTCCACTCAGAGCCAAGCTGTTTTGAGACTTTTACTCAACACAAGAAATCTCTTATGGCCCACGGGAGCTCAAATCTGGGGACCCAGGTGTCCAAGACAACAAACTGTCACCCGATCAGTTTCCTTTTGGTTAGGTCACTTATATATCCTACCATCTCTGGGAAAAATGGGTTTTGTTTCCAAATGCTGACTTTTATTTTTTCCAAATGCTGATTTTTAAATGGTACTTTAAAGAGTCTCTTGCGTTAGAAAGTTAAAAAAATATATTTTTTGAGACAGGTCAGCTTGGCTTTGAATGTAGTCCAGGCTAGCCTCGAACTGGAGGCGATCCTCCTCCCTTAGCCCCACGAGTGCTGGGATTAGAGGCGAGCGCCACCATGTCTGGCTAAACTCCAAAGTATTTTACCAATAGGATTTTTTTTTTAAAGGAAATGCATGCAAAAGTCGTTAGCAATCTATAAACTTCTCGCAGACATAACCTCCTGCTGCAAAACGGCTTCATACTTCTGCTGCCCACCTGGACCCTCGACTTGGCGCCTTGATTAGGGCCTCGCACCTCCTCGCAGGCTGCGCGCCCCGCACGCGACCCCTTCCGAGTTCCCGCCTCTTTCACGCAGGCCCCTCCTTCCCCCCCTCCAATCCTCAGTCACTGGCTGGGCCCCTGGACGCCTGCGCAGTAGGGAAGGTAGGCGGGGTCTTGAGGCCGAGGTAGGAGGGGCAGGAGCACTCGGGGAGGGGAGCGGAGGGGAGGAGGCCGCACGGGGTGGGGCCGGCGGGTACGCGCTCGCTGCGTCGACGTACTGACGCCAGGACGCGCGGCCGGTGTGTGTCGGGGTGTGTGTGTGTGTGTGTGTGTGTGTGTGTGTATGTGTATGTGTGTGAGTGTGCGCGCTCCGAGTGTGTATTTGTGTATCGGCGGTCCCGCAGGTCCCGGATGTTGCGGACAGTATGAGGCGAGCGCAGGGGGACGGGGACAAGCAGCTGTCGCCGCCGCTCTCAGGTGAGTTGGGGGAAGGAGAGTCGATGGCGGAGGATGTCCTGACGGGGTGGGGGGCGCCTCCCGTGAGAGGTGACTGACCCCACTGCCCCCCTCCGCACACAGTCTTCTCTGTCCCATTTCCTACACTCGGATTACGTGGCCTGCGAATGCCAGAACCTAGTCCACCGACCCTTCTCCCTATCCCAAGCATTCAGGAGACACAGACGCGCCCCCAGCCTCTAGCCCCCCCCATCATCGCCCAGCCCCATCCCCCTTGCCAAATAGTGAGCTGTCGCCTGCGGCGAGATGGGTGACTGCGCATGCGCGAATGCGAACGCGGTCGGCTTGCCTCCTCGGTGCCCTCGGGGCGCATGCGCAGCGCCGTGTTGCAGGGACCTGCGGGATAAAGAGCTCCGGGACTGTGCGCCGCCTTCTTCCCAGGCAGTGGGCTAGACTTGCTGCCCAGCAGTAAGCCTGTAGCTCCTGTCCGAGAAGGAGAATTTAAATTGTGTGAGGGCCTTAAGGACAAACCATTACTCGAGTGTGTTGTTGCCCTAGAGACTCCCAGGCTACCAACATCTCCCAGAGCCAACGTGTCCCACGCTGACGCTTTTGAAACTGTCACTGCAACTTGTTCTAGGATTACTTTTCCTTTCCTCAACTCTCACCGTCGTAAGACTTGAGTACAAACTTCCCTGAGATTTCGGAGTAGCTGCCCCAACCTATTTAATTATTCTGGCAAGGGAGTGCTAAGGACTAAGGGTCATAGAAAAGAAACGGGGAGGGGGGTAATTTCTTTGAATAAAATTCGTAATTACTGTCACAGCACTGGATAAGGAGGGGTAAACAACACACACAGTTTAAAGTTTAAGGTCATAAACTGTAAATCAAGACGAAGATTTTAATGTACCAGTCTTCCGATTTTTTTTTTTTTTGTTTGTTTGTTTGTTTTTGGTTTTTCTCCGGTACCGGGAACCGAACTCACGACCTTGCGCTTGCCAGGCAGGCGCTTTGCCGCTGAGCTAAATCCCCAGCCCTAGTCTTCCAATTTTGTATGACCTATTTGCCTCTATTTTGCCTAATTTCTTCCTTAGTGATTTCATTCTAGCTGTGTTTTATTGATGTCTATGACCATCACATGAAAACAGACAATTTGAAGCAGTTGGTGAACAATAACTTATCTGGTGGAGGTTTTAAATAATAGTGATTTTTTTTTCATGTTGGCAAATACTGAAATAAATTTAAAGTTAAGTCATATTCCAGTGACTTAGGACCTGGGTTTCCGTTGGCAGATAGCACTTGGTCTTTTAATTTGCCCGTGTGTTACTACTCTTGGATACTTGACTGTGTCTTACTTCTGCCATCCTTCTTACTAGCAAAAAGTTGGCTAAACAGTGTTGAAATGAATAGCTAAACTCTTGTAGGGGGCACACAGAGAGGGAGGGAGGGATATTTTCTGTGTTTTTCAATTATCCTTGCTACTCCCTTTTTTTTTTTTTTTCAGTCTTTTTGAGACAGGGTTTGACTGTGCAGTTCAGGCTGGCCTTGAACTTTAGTCCAGGCTGGTCTCGAACTCACAGTGATCCTCCTGCCTCAGCCTCCCAAGTGCTGGGATTATAGGGGTGCGCCACCAAACCCTGCCCAATCCCTGCTACCCTTATCTTCTGGTTGAACAACTGGGAGTGACATATTAGCCTTAGTTTTGATTTTTCCCTTTGTGTTCTACTTTTCTACTCCCAAGGTTTTTGTTTTGTTTTGTTTTGTTTTCGGCTACCATTCTTAACCCTGGGACTGTGAGGGTAAACCTTTTAGAGCTTTCAATGATAACAAATACCCCACTGCAGCAGGCATGCCCTAAGTTTGCCGCAGCTGCCTTAAGATCTCATGCTCGAAGGCCTTAAAATAAATAAAGAAACAAACATACGTTTTTTCATTAATTCTGGACTTTAAATGGTTCAGCTATCTTTTGTGCTGTCTCTTGTTGCCATGTTACAGGTGGAGCTAAAACATGACAGGAAGCACAGGGATTTGGGGTGCGTCTATCATCCTGTGTTGCTAGGAAAGAGCTGGAGACTTTTCTTGTGTGACGACTAAGGAGTAGACGTTATTGCAACAACTTCACACAGTTGGGGCAGTTGGTTTCTGTTTGGTAATTTGGTAACTTCTCCTTTTAGAGCAATCTTTACAGTAGCTGATTTGGTAGTTGATAATACTTAATGTTGCCTAATGTTCAGACTGGATCAAGGTTCTTGTAAAATCTAGAAGTGAAACTATTATGGTAGTAAATGTCTGTCTTCTCTGTTGGCTTCTGTGATCTAGGCTGCTTTGTTCTTATCTGGAAACATTTTGTCTAGTTGAATTCACTGAGGCCTCATTTAAAATTTTGATGGTACAAAGGCATAGAATGCTTTTGGGATTAAGATAAGTATTGTTAATTAATTCATATTGCTGGAGAGCCTTGTTTTTAAAAATCACTTTTTAAAATGGGTAACACATGTACATACATATGAAACAAAATTCAAAAGGTACCCAGTGAGAGAGTGAAAAGTCTCTGGCACCCTCCTTTCATTCATCTTGTACCCTTGCAAAGCGGCATCTTGTTTGTCCTTCCAGAGAGAGCCTGCGGGTACTAGCACAAAGCCTATATATTCTTTGCTATTTTTTTGTTTCTTTTTGTTTGCTTTATACAGATGGTAGATATTATGCCTTTTATTGCTTTTTTATTTATCTTGGTGGTCATTTCATATACTATATATAGTTTCTCCTCCTTTTTAAAAGATGGCAGATATTGCATTGTGTAGTTGTACCATCAGTTCAGCCAACTTTGTCTTTTTCTCTCTCTCTCTCTTTTTTTTTTGTTTGTTTTTTGAGACAGGGTTTCACTGTGTAGTTCGGGCTGGCCTTGAACTCACAATGTAACCCTGTTTGCCTCTGTGTTCTTGCCTCAACCTCAGACCTTTAAAGAACTGCTGATGGCAGAATGTTTCACAAAGAGCTGTGGAGAAGTAGAATGAAAAGATGTGTGTACCTAAAGGGCTTACAATCTTATTGGAAATCCAGATTGAATGTCTAAGAAGACCTCGCAAAGATGTAATCAGGGTTAAAGCAGAGTTCCTTTCAGAGGCCTTTTTGGAGCGAGTACATTTTGAGCCCCCCCCACCAACTTTTCAGCAATACTGAGGATGAACCCAGGGCCTTGCATATGCTAGGCAAGCTCTGTACTACTGAGCTATATCCTTAGTCCTATTTTATTTTATTATTGGCAGTTGGACACAGGACCTTTGCACTGATCAACATCCCCAGCCCCTTTTTATTTTTTATTTTGAGACAGGGTTTTTCTAAGTCACTGAGTTGCCCATACTAGGCTCAAGCTTGGGATCCTCCTGTCTCAGCTGTCAGAGTACTGGGAACATAGGGATGTGCTACAACTCTTGGCTATTTTATTTTATTTTGAGATAGGGACTCCCTAAATTTGCCAGGCTGGCTTTAAACTGTGATCCTCCTGCCTCAGGCTCCTGCCTCAGGCTTCTCAGGCTCCTCAGGCTCCTAAGTACAGGTATGTATCCAGCCTTCCATTTTTTTTTTAAATTAAAAAAAAGAATAACACTGTTGCCGCATGTGGTGGCGCATGCCTGTAATCCCAGCCCAGCCCACTGGAGCTGAAACAGGAGGATTGCTGCAAGTTTGAGGCCAGCCTGGGCTACAAAAGTGAGTTCGAGGCCAGCCTGAAATGCATAATGAAACCCTGTCTCAAAAAAAGAAAAAAGAAAGAAAGAAAAGTACAGTTATACCCTATAACCATCAGGTAGATTCACTAGGTGTTCACATTTTGTATTTGGTTTACGTATATATGTATGTATGAGTTTAGATATGTAATATGTATATATATATTTTTTATATTGCAGGTCAACACAGCATTTCCCCCATAAATACTTTAGATGCATCTCTTTGAAGTAGTCATTACCTGGTTTTTTTTTTTGGTATCAGGAATTGAACTCAGGACATTGTGCTTGCCAGGCAGGCGCTTATGCCACTGAGCTATATTCCCAGCCCCCTGAAGTAGTCATTATTTTACTTAATTATTGTTACAATACTTGTCACAATTAAGGCAATTAACAGTAATCTGAATATTATCTATATTCACTTCATGGTCACCTTTTTATAGGTGCCTTTTTTTTTAAAGCTGTTTGTAGCTTTTCTTCAAACAAGTCTCTTTAGTCTTTTTAAAAATCCCAGTTCAAGGCTGGGGATATAGCTCAGTTGTGTAAGTGCCTGCCTGGCAAGTACTAAAAAAAAAGTCCCAATGTTAGCCAGGTGTAATTACAGGTGCATACCTGTAATTCCAGCACTCGAGAGGCTGAGGCAGGAGGATCTTTGCAAGTTTGAGACCAGCCTGGGCTACAGAGTGAGCTCAAGGCCAGCCTGAACTGCATAGCGAGACTCTGTCTCAAAAAAAAAAGAAATCCCAGTTTAGAACTCGTATGACCTTATTTGTTTGTTTGTTTGTTTGTTTAAGAGACCAGACCATTTGTATTGTAGCATGGATCACCTGTGGAATTTTCTGGTCATTTCCTCACAGTTTCATTTAATTTGTTCCTTTATCCCTGTGTTACGTAGATTTTTTTTTTTTTTTTTTTTTGAGACATGGTTTGGCTGTATACTTCAGGCTGGCCTTGAGTTCACTAAGTAGCCCAGGCTGGTCTCAGACTCGCAGTGATCCTCCTGCCTCAGCCTCCTGAGTTACACAGGTGTGTGCGAACACACGAGGCAAGGTTTAGATTCTGATGAAACAGTTTTGCTAAGAGTACTGCTCCTCATCCCATCATACTAGGAGAAATGTGTCACAGCCCTCTCTGTACTAATGATGCTGTTGGTTTGATCATGTGTTTTAGTTGACAAACACTGGCTCTTTTCATCTGGAGGTGTTGTTTTTCCCTTTGTAGTTAGCAACTTGAGCAATGCCACTCTGGCACTGCACCATTTATACTTTTCCAGTAATCTCTCACCAAAGGATGATGGTT